GAGGTGGTAGTAGACAGGGAGAAAAGTGGGCAGGTACAATAAAAAGTGTAGAAACTAGGGAGAAAAGGCACTCTCTAATTAATTTTTTATTCTAATTTATAATGCGTCCATGTGTAGAGGCTAAAAATGCCAGATTCTTTATCTCAGATATGTTACTGTCAGTAATTTGCTAGCTCCAGGACACACAGGTTTGCCAGAACAATTCTGGACATCTCTTCCCAACTCTGTGTTCAGTACCGTCACACAGGGAGCTTGAAATGGCCATGGTGGGAGTATTTACAATATGGGGGTTGACAAGTGCCACAAATCAAAACTTAACAAATCAAGGATTGGGGGTCGGGGAGGAAGAAAGCTGCTTGTTAATCACTTCCCAGTACACCACTCTTATTGTTTTCTATAAATCAACTTTCTTCATCTAAGAGCCTCCCTTTCTACCAATCACACACAAAAAATACTTCAACTAGGCATATCCTGAAAAACTGCTTGATGACCATTGTCTCAGTCACTTCATATTTGTAATTCAGTTAGTTCAACGATCTTCCCACTTCTTCCCAGGCTGTCATCAAGGTTCATGAGGATGGGATCAGAAGAGGCATCTGGTCCATCATTTTTTTTAATCCATCTGGCCCTCTCTGTAATACCTCACATCCCTGATCCTGAATATCACTCTTAGCAGCATTACTTATTGCCTTCTGATGGTGGAGTTCATGAATCCATTACATCTTCTGATAGAAGCATAGCTGGTGTGGGATCTTTTATCAGGGACCTTACAAATGGCTTACTCTACTTTTCGCCTTTCCCTCTTCTAAAGCCCTTCCCCCTTCTTTTTATAAAGATTAGATTTACTTATTTTTAGAAAGGGGAAGGAAATGAGAAAGAGAGGGAGAGAAACATCAATGTGTGGTTGCCTCTCACACGCCCCCATGGGGGACCTGGCCCACAACCCAGGCATGCGCCCTGACTGGGAATTGAACCAGCGATCCTTTGCTTTGCTCAAAGGATCCATGCTCAAGGGATTGAGTTCGGTGCTCAATCCACTGAGCTACACCAGCCACGGCCCTTCCCCGTTCTTGACTTAACCCTTCCTGGGTTAAGTGGTGAACACTTTTCCTAAATCTTTGAGTAAGATTGATGCTCAAGTAATATATTCCATATTTTCTGAGGGCTTCTTGTACCATCTGGCCAACTGTCATATCTTCCCAGGAATCTGATAGCTCCAGATTGAGAAGTATAGTTTTAAAAGATAAATAGAATTTGAATGGGTGGAAATGGTAAGGAACAATAGTGCTGGTGGAGGGATCTGTGAGTCAAGGGACACCAAGCTGGGCTTGTATATAGTGATTAGAGGAGCTGGTAGGGGAGTTATATCAGGAAAGACTAAATGAACTGATAGGGAGAAACTTATGAAAGACTTTGGATGCCATGATAAAAAGGTAGGGTTGATTTTGTAAAAAAAGAAAACCATGCTAAAGATTTGAAAGCAATGTAATCTGATTAATGTTTGGGAAACTCAATGGATGGGGTAGATTGGAAGAGCGAGAGCTTGCAGACAAGGACGAGGCTTTGGAGTAGACCAAGGTTGGAATCATCGCAGCTGAAACTGTGGCAGTTAAAATGGCAAAACAAAGCAAGGAGGTGTCAAGAATAACAGTGAGGACTTCCAGTCAAGATAGAGGCATAGGTAGATACACTTTGCCTCCTTGTGCAACCATAGAAAGAATTAGAACCAGATCTCAAAAACAGATAATACCCAGAATCATCTGAAAATTGAGCTCTATGGTAATCTGACAACCAAGGATTTAAAGAAGGCACATTCATCCAGACAGGTGCCTTTGCAACATAGGCCACCCTACTAACAGGGAGTAAAAGTGGCTCTACCTAATACACAGAAACAAACACAGGAAGGCTGCCAAATTGAGGAGACAAAGAAATATGGCCCAAATATGAAAAAACAGATCAAAACTCCAGAAGAAGAACTAAATGAAATAAAGATGGCCAACCTATCAGATGCAGAGTTTAAAACACTGGTGATAGGGATGCTTAGAGATCTAATTGAGTATGGCGAAAAATAAAGAAAGAAATGAAGGATACACAAAGTGAAATAAAGAAAAATATACAAGGAACAAACAGTGAAGGGAAGGAAGCCAGGACTCAAATCAATAATTTGGCACAAAAGGAAGAAATAAATATTCAACCAGGACAGAAAGATAAAACAAGAATTTAAAAAAACAAGGAGATGTTTAGAAACCTCTGGGACAACTTTAAATATACCAACATCCAAATCATAGGGGTGCCAGAAGGAGAAGAAGAAGAGCAAGAAATTGAAAATTTATTTGAAAAATAATGAAAGAAAATGTCCCTAATTTGGCAAAGGAAATAGACATACAAGTCCAGGAAGCACATAGAGTCTCAAGGTGGACCCAAAGGGGACCACACCAAGACACATGATAATTAAAATGCCAAAGATAAAAGATAAAGAGAGAATCTTTTTTAAGATTTTATTTATTTATTTTTAGAGAGAGGGGAAGGGAGAGAGAGAGGGAGAGAAACATCAATGTGTGGTTATCTCTCATGCACTCCTTACTGGGGAGCTGGCCCACAACCCAGGCATGTGCCTTAACTGGGAATCAAACCAGCAACCCTTTGCTTTGCAGTCCAGTGCTCAATCCACTGAGCCACACCAGCCAGGACAATAAACAAAGAATCTTAAAAGCAGCAAGAGAAATGCAGATTGATACCTACAAAGGAGTTCCAATAAGACTATCAGCTGATTTCTCAAAAGAAACTTTGCAGGCAAGAAGGGACTGGCAAGAAGTATTCAAAGTGATGAAAAACAAGGACCTTCAGCCTAGATTACTCTATCCAGCAAAGCTATCATTTAGAATGAAAGGGCAGATAAAGTTCTTCCCAGACAACATAAAGCTAAAGGAATTAATCATCACCAAGCCATTATTACATGAAATATTAAAGGGGCTTATCTCAGAAAAAGATCAAAACTATGAACAGTAAAATGACAATGAACTCACAACTATCAACAACTGAACCTAAAAAATAAAACTAAGCAAACAACTAGAACAGTAACAGAATCACAGAAATGGAGATCACATGGAGGATTACCAGTTGGGAGGGGGAAGGGGGAGAATAGGGGAAAAGGTTCAGGGATTAAGAAGCATAATTGGTAGGAACAAAATAGACAGGGGGAGATTAAGAATAATATAGGAAGTGGAGATGCGAAAGAACTTACACATACAACCCATGGACAGGAACTAAAGTGGGGGGTACTGACGGAGAGAAGGGAAGTGCCAGGCAGAGGAGGAAAAGGGGGGAAATTTGGGACAACTGTAATAGCATGATCAATAAAATATACTTTAAAAAAGAGTGCAAGTGAAGGTCAACCAGAGTCGGTGAATGGTTTTAATGACGGGGAGAAAGAGACAGGTAAAAGGAAAAAAAACACAGAACATTGTACCTCTAACTCCAACAAACTTTAGGTATGTAAGGATATGTGAAGAAGCTCTTTGAGATCTTTCTAAACCATCTTACATTAGAGAAAAAGAAAGCTGAGGAAAATTTCACTGATTTGCCTCTTATTAGAGGAATTAAGAGAAGTAGGCATTCAGTTTATTAGATATCAACATGATTGGTTGATTCATTCAGTTGGGAGAACTAAACATTTGTTGAACAAGAACCCTGTTGCAGACACACAGACTGGATCACTTCATGAATAAGCACCAGTTAAACTAAAACCAACTGAAGTAAAATATTGATAGAAATCCTAAAACTTCAGATCAAGTCCATGGTTCAACCACCCTCTAAGGCAGGGCAACTTCAAGGTACTATGGTGATTAGTAGAGTTCTTCTGTGCCTCCCATATTCCTTTTTAAGGTCTTTCTCCCCAGGGTCCAAGTGTCTTTTGTGTTAAACCTGAATGCCCAAGAAACACTATTGAGGCTAGTAGGTTCCCATATATGCCAATTTTCCTGAGAAAGTCTTAGTTTATGCCTATAGTTTTGGCATAATTTTTTTAAATTATTTATTTATTTATTTTTAGAGATGGGGAAGGGAGGGAGAAAGAGAGGGAACAAAACATTGATGTGAGAGAAACGCTGATTGCTTGCCTCTTGTATGCTCCCCAATAAGGGACCAAGCCTGCAAACCAAGTATGTTCCCTGACCAGGATTTGAACTGGTGACCTTTCACTTTGTGAGACTACTCTCAACCCTCTGAGCCACACAGGTTAGGGCTGGCATAATTATTAACAGCCCCCATCCTACTTTCACTCACATAAGTATCCATCCTTTTAATCCATTAGGGCTCACCTAAGCAATGCTCTCTACTCCTTTCCAAATTTATGTAATGTAAAGTCTGTGTGAGGAAAATGTTCATCCCAGAATCACCTTGGAGATGATTTTTTAAAAATCCAAGAGAAAAGCCAGCATATAATGGCAGTGCCAAAATGATGGGAGTTGTGTGGTCTTGGGCAAAGCAGCTAATGTCCCTGAGCTATGTGTATCTTGATCTGTAGAAAATGAGGCTAATGGATCTCCTTTGTTTCCCTACTTAAAATGTTAAGAGGATTGAATATTGTGAGAGACTCTTGTAGTGTGCATCACAGCAGGTTTAGCAAGCAAACATTAGTCGCACTAAAGTCATATGTTTTTCTTCCCAGCTGTATTCGTATTTTAACATTCCTTCATCTTTCAAATTTCAGACTTTGACAGCATTTAGATAATGATGAATAGGAAAATGCTCCTTCTACCACCTTAAAAGCTATGTAACTGAAAAGTTAAGAATCTGAAAGCTAAATATGTAACTAAATTATAATTAACCTTAGTGATTGACTAATATAGTCATGGGTGGAGGGTGCTGTGTAGATGATTAAGAAAGTAGCTGAGTTTTTTATTTTGAAGTGCAGCAAAAGAGAGGTAGCAAATGGGGATTTTCAATTCTGATTCTTGTTATATTTTAGAATGGTGATTTGTTCTTTCTTAAACTTTTAGGTGTTTCCAATGTGGACATTAAAGAGACCATTCCTTCTCCTTTTTAACATGATCCTAATTTCCAAGCTTGGTGCTAGATGGTTTCCTAAAACTCTGCCCTGTGATGTCAGTCGGAATGACTCAAATGACCAAGTGATCGTAGACTGCACAGACAAGCATTTGACGGAGATTCCTGGAGGTATTCCCACCAACACCACCAACCTCACTCTCACCATCAACCACATACCAGACATCTCTCCAGCCTCCTTCCGCCAGCTAGACCAGCTGGTAGAGATTGATTTCAGATGCAACTGTATACCTATTCGACTGGGGCCAAAAGACAAAATTTGCAACAAAAGCCTGCAGATTAAACCCGGAAGCTTTCACAGACTGACTTATTTAAAATCCCTTTACCTGGATGGAAATCAGCTTCTAGAAATACCACAGGATCTTCCTCCCAGCTTACAGCTGCTGAGCCTTGAAGCTAACAGCATCTTCTCCCTCAACATAAATAATCTAACACAACTGGCCAATATAGAAAAGCTCTACCTTGGCCAAAACTGTTATTATCGTAATCCCTGTAATGTTTCATTTTATATTGAAAAAGATTCTTTCCAAAAACTGCAGAATTTAAAACTGCTCTCCCTAAAAGATAACAATATTACAGCTGTTCCCACTATTTTGCCACCTAGTTTAACAGAACTCTATCTTCACAACAACATGATTGCAGAAATCCAAGCAGATGATTTTAATAACCTCAGTCAACTGCAAACTCTTGACCTCAGTGGAAACTGCCCTCGTTGTTATAATGTCCCATTTCCTTGTACACCCTGTGAAAACAATTCTCCCCTACGGATCCATATAAATGCTTTCGATGCATTGACAGAATTACAAGTTTTACGTCTACACAGTAACTCTCTTCAGTCTGTGCCCGAAAGATTGTTTAAACACCTTAACAAACTTAAGGAACTCGATCTTTCTCAAAACTTCTTGGCTAAAGAAATTGGGGATGCCAAATTTTTGCATCATCTTCACAACCTTGTCCAATTGGATCTATCTTTCAATTATGAACTTCAGGTCTATCGTGAACAGATGAAACTATCAAATGCATTTTCTTCACTGAAAAACCTGAAAGTTTTGCGGATCAAAGGATATGTCTTTAAGGAGCTGGAATTCTTGAACCTCTCCCCATTACTTTCTCTTCCCAATCTTGAAGTTCTTGATCTCGGCACTAACTTTATTAAAATTGCTAACCTCAGCATATTTGAAAATTTTAAAACATTGAAAGTGATAGATCTTTCAGTGAATAAAATATCACCTTCAGGAGATTCAAGTGAAGTTGGCTCTTGTTCTAACACCAGAACTTCTGTAGGAGCTTATGGGTTCCAGGTCTTTGAAGCATTACATTATTTCAGATATGATGAGTATGCAAGGAGTTGCAGATTCAAAAATGAAGAAACTCCTTCTTTCTTGAGTTATTATAATGAAGAGTGTTACCGTTATGGGGAGACCTTGGACCTAAGTAGAAATAGTATATTTTTTATCAGGTCCTCTGATTTTCAGCACCTTTCTTTCCTTAAATGCCTAAACTTGTCAGGAAATAGTGTTGGCCAAGCTCTTAATGGCAGTGAATTTCAACCTTTAGTGGAGTTGAGATATCTGGACTTCTCTAACAACCGGCTTGATTTACTCTACTCAACAGCATTTGAGGGGCTACACAAGCTGGAAGTTTTAGATATAAGTAGTAACAGCCATTATTTTCAATCAGAAGGAATTACTCACATGCTAAACTTTACCAAGAACCTCAAGTTTCTCAGGAAACTGATGATGAATGACAATGATATCTCTACCTCCACTAGCAAGACCATGGAGAGCAAATCTCTTAGAACACTGGAATTCAGAGGAAATCATTTGGATATTTTATGGAGAGATGGTGATGACAGATACTTCAATTTCTTCAAGAATCTGACCAACTTACAGGAATTAGATATCTCTTCAAACTCCCTTAGTTTCTTGCCTGCTGGAGTTTTTGATGGTATGCCTCCATATCTAAAGACTCTTGTTTTGGTCAGAAATGGGCTCAAGTTTTTTCACTGGGAGAAACTCCAGTCTCTGAAGCATCTAGAAACTTTGGACCTCAGCCACAACCAGCTGAATATTCTCCCTGAGAGATTATCCAATTGTTCCAGCAGCCTCAAGAAACTCATTCTTCACAATAATCAAATTAGGTGTCTGACAAAGTATTTTCTACAAGATGCTTTCCAGTTGCGATATCTGGACCTCAGCTCAAATAAAATCCAGGTTATCCAAAAGACTAGCTTTCCAGAAAATGTCCTCAACAATCTGGAGATGTTGCTTTTGCATCATAATCGGTTTTTGTGCACATGTGATGCCGTGTGGTTTGTCTGGTGGGTTAACAATACAGAGGTGACTATTCCTAACTTGGCCACAGATGTGACTTGTGTGGGGCCAGGGGCACACAAGGGCCAAAGCGTAGTCTCTCTGGATCTGTATACCTGTGAGTTAGATCTGACTAACTTGGTTCTGTTCTCTCTCTCCATATCGGCAGCTCTCTTTCTAATGGTGGTTATGACAGCAAGCCACCTCTATTTCTGGGATGTGTGGTATAGTTACCATTTCTGCAAGGCCAAAATAAAGGGGTATCAACGTCTGATATCCCCCGACTCTTGCTATGATGCTTTTATTGTGTATGACACTAAAGACCCTGCAGTGACAGAGTGGGTTTTGGATGAGCTGGTGGCCAAATTGGAAGACCCAAGAGAGAAACATTTTAATTTATGTCTTGAGGAAAGGGACTGGTTACCAGGGCAGCCAGTTCTGGAAAACCTGTCCCAGAGCATACAGCTTAGCAAAAAGACAGTATTTGTGATGACAGACAAGTATGCAAAGACTGAGAATTTTAAGATAGCCTTTTACTTATCCCATCAGAGGCTCATGGATGAAAAAGTGGATGTAATTATTTTGATATTCCTTGAGAAGCCCCTTCAGAAGTCCAAGTTCCTCCAGCTCCGGAAGAGGCTCTGTGGGAGTTCTGTCCTTGAGTGGCCAACAAACCCACAGGCTCATCCGTACTTCTGGCAGTGTCTAAGAAATGCTCTGGCCACAGACAATCATGTGACCTACAGCCGGGTGTTCAAAGAGACAGTTTAGTTCTTCTTTGAAAAATGAAACTACCTAACTTATGTAGGAGAAGCTTGGCTGCCTAGATTTTCTCAAAGATGTCTCTCCAAGAGTGGTTTTAAGTTCTCCAATACTTGGGATTGCCAACATCAGAAAGGCTTCCCAATATATGACAAAGGAATTGGAAAAATGGGACTTATATAATGCATCGAGTTGTCTTTCCCATCTCTCTATGCTTCCCTTGGCACTTAAATCTCTCCCTTCTGCTCCTGTAGGAAATCCTATTGGGAGAAGGGGGGCAAGGAGAGGAGTTATGGCTCTGATTTCCTTGTAATTGTGATTATTAAATATATACACAGTCAGAAACTTAAGAACTACACTCCCACCCTTAAGAAGTACTGGTATGTATATAAATAGCGTTAGAAATGCTCAGGGTCTGTTTATATGACATCAAAATGTACCAGAGTGAGTTTAGTGAAATAAAAACCCAATTAACCCTCACTGATGACTTCAGTGTCATCTAGCGCCCGCTCTGTGCAGACCGAGTGTTGCTACACAGCAGGTGATTGCTGCCTGTCCAAATACCACTCGGTCTTTTCCCTTGGGCCTGTTACTGGGTTCTATGGGGAAATAGTACAAAAGATCTTTACCATTGCTGAGCATAGTCTATTTATACATGGGGGAAAATACAGTCATCTGCTTTCATACAGAGTGATGCTCTTCACTGTTGATCATAATTTACCTGCTTAAATATTGTATGGACATTTTAGTTTGCTCCCCCCAAATTCATATGTTGAGTTCCTAACCTTCAATGGGATGGTGTTTGGAGTCGGGGCATTTAGGAGTAGATGAGGTCCTAAAAGTGGAGTCTTCATGATGGGGTGAGTGCCCTTATAAGAAGAAGCCAAAGAGCTAGCTCACTGTCTTCCTACCATGTGTGGATACAAACAGAATTCAACAGAGTTTGCAATGCAGAAGAGGGTCTTCACCAGAACCAGACCACAAAGTCACTCTGATCTCAGACTTCTACCCCCCAGAACTGTGAGAAATAAATGTTTGTTGTTTAAGCCACCCAGTCTGTGGTGTATTATTATAGCAGCCTGAGCTGACTGAGACAAATATTTTTATCTGTATTGCAAAGTACTTTGTCCAAAGTAAAACTGCCTCATCCAGTGATCTTACAGACTGCTTTGTTAATTAATACTATATATTTATAAGTAGTAATACTGCAACCTTGAACCATCAATATTAGATGGTTTTGGTGGTAAGCTTTAAAAGAGGACCCAAGAATATGTATTTACTTATAGGTATCAGGCAGGAATGACAACAATATGACTTTCTTTAAATTTGAGGGTGGGGAGGGAAACTGATGTTTAAAGACCTTTACACTGAGAAAGCTTCAGTCTTGAACTTCAGCTTTACATCTCAAAAATAACAGAAAGGACCAAGATATTCCAAAAGCACACGTACTTTCAACTGGGTTGAAATTCATATGAGTTCATTAGATGGGAGATACTGTATTTTCCTCATAGATGGAAATGCCAAAGGTTTAACTTTAAGTATGGTTGTAAATACATACTGTATGAATTGTTTCCAAAGGACATGCAATCAATTACTAAGGGTCATGAATTTCCAAATTAATCTCTGGAATGAATAGAGAGATGGTTAAGTTGCCAGAGCCAACCATTTGACAAGTTCTGTAGTTACAGATGCCTTCTTTCTTCAGCAAAAACAAAGATAATGACATAGAAAATTGGCTTTTGGCATCAATAATCTTCCTTTAAAATACATAAATACATGAAGTTTAACTATTTTAGCAACTTATAAACCATAAGGACTTGAGGACAACTTAAACATCTTCTGAAATGCATCAAGAGGAAGGGAAACTGAAAATAACATGACTTAGAAGCCACAGTGTATTTTGACATGAGGTTATAAGTACAGTGGTTTGTTGTAAGAAACAACCAAAAGCACATGAACAGATGGGTTTAGTTTTAATTCCTTTGTAATCTTGAAAAGTCACTCTTTTAACTTTCTGAGGATGCTCTGTGGAGCTCTGTATGACAGGAACCACTCAGAGATGGCTCAAATCAAAAGCCACCAACACAGACTACCAGGACAGTGTGACTGCCAGGTTGCCTGCAAAGCTCTGAATGTCCTGCTTCTCCATGGACTCACTTCTGGTTGCCTGTGCTCTGGAAGGGACTCCCGATTCTCCATAAATCCCACAGCACCATCAAAGCTTGGCCCCCAGCCCCTTTCAAGCCTGAACCTGGCCTGGCTGTGTCCTTCCTTTACAGACAGATGCTGTGCCTCAGCAAGGAGTGGGCATTTTCAGGATCCAAGACAAGAGAAGCATTAGGCAGGGCAAATGTTATGGCTGGTAAAAAGGCAAAGGGTGTGTCTGGTGTCTGTAGAGGAGAGGGAGGAGGAACCTGATCACAGCCCTGTTGCTGAGTCAGTTTCCTTTGACCCCCATCTTCACGTCTACTTTTAGCTCTGTCTGAATACTCTTAGGTCTAGAATGATCTCTTAAATGTAGTCAGGGAACATAGAGTACATTACATGAGTTGAGAACCTGGGCATCTTGTTCCCCAGTCTCGAAAGAAACTCTAATGGAGATAGCAAGTATACACACTGTTCATTGAGGCTTCCCCTTAACCCCCATAAGACAGGCTCTTTATTTACCTCCTCCTTCTCATCCTAACCATGGAGAACCAGGTTGCATATCCTGCAAGGTATTTATGAGCCAATTTTTAAACAGGGATGGGGATAAGTTTCAATTTGCCCCCCACCTCTTCTGTGCATGCTGAGAACACTGGTTATGGGGTACATTTACTGTGGGAGGTCATCCCTCCATGAACTTTGGGGTGCCAGGTGTCAGGAGTAGTTAGTAATGGGGCACACTGCCAGTTGTATCTGCTGGAAGATTGAGACCTTGGCCCTAAGGAACACTGAGAATTACCTGTATCTTCTGAATACACATACCAGTGTGGGAAGGAAATGACCAGTGAAGAAGGACACGTGCTTTGGACCAAAAATTAGTCCATTAGTCCATTTCACTGAGTTAGTATAATGAAGGAAAACATGAGACCAACCAGCCAACCAACAAACACAGTGAAGGGGAAGGGTTAAAAAGAGAGGGAAAAGTTTCCAACTCATGATGAGACTATGTGGAAAAAGGCCTGGTGACATAGAAGTCATCCATGCTGGTGGCAATAAAATCACAATGGGGCAGTTTCACATTGTTTTAGGTTTTTTATCTTTTCTATCTTGGTTTGCCTCCCCCTCCTTCTCAGTTTCCTTTTTGGCTTTAGACACCAATGGCGAGTCTCCTGTAATGCACAAGAATGAAGAGAAAGCTGTTGTTGCAGGTGGATTCTTCTGTTTGGAAGCAGTGGTTTTGTATGTACTTTGGTTTAAAACTGATCTCTTTCCCACACTCACACAGTAAATCCCCACCTGCTTCAAAGAGCATGACCTTCTATAAATGGCCCGGTGAAAACTTCCCTGGGTAGCTCTGGCCAGATTCTGCCACATTCAAATTCATACTCTTTCTACTTATCTCAACTTTTAAGCACGTGAGTCAAAAAAACTGGATAAGATCTGGTGGGCTGCCTTTAATATTACCCTAGGGGAAACTTGGAAAGAAGAGAGCCGTGATCCCTTCTACTGAGAACATACTTTCTTCTAAGGAACCACAGTTGTGGGGATGCGGGTAGACTTTTTACACTAGGATGAGTTATTCCAGCATTTTTACCTGCACATTCCAAGTCAGTCAGGTGCATCAGTCCTTTCAGCAGAACCTGCCTTTCGTGGCTCAGGTGCTCCAAGACTAAAATAAAAACCAAAAACAAACAAACAAAAAAAAAACAGCCCAAATGAAAGAACAGATAAAAGCTCCAGAAAAAAATACAACTAAGCAACGAAGAGATAGCTAACCTATCAGATGCACAGTTCAAAACACTGGTAATCAGGTTGCTCACAGAATTGGTTTAATATGGTTGCAAATTACATGGAAAAATGAAGACTATGCTGAGTGAAATAAAGGAAAATGTAGAAGGAACCAACAGTGACAGGAAGGAAACTGGGACTCAAATCAATGGTGTGGACCAGAAGAAAGAAAGAAACATTCAACCAGAACAGAATGAAGAAACAAGAATTTTAAAAAATGAGGAGAGGCTTAGGAAACTCCAAGATATCTTTAAATGTTCCAACATCTGAATCATGGGGGTGCCAGAAGGAGAAGAGGAAGAGCAACAAATTGAAAACTTATTCGAACAAATAATGAAGGAGAACTTTTCCAATCTGGCAAAGGAGATAGACTTCCAGGAAGTTCAGGAAGCTCAGAGTCCCAAAGAAGGTGGACCCAAGGAGGAACACATCAAGGCACATCATATTTACATTACCCAAGATTAAAATGAAGGAGAGAATTCTAGAAGCAGCAAGAGAAAAGGAGACAGTTACCTTCAAAGGAGTTCCCATCAGACTGTCAGCTGATTTCTCAAAAGAGACCTCACAGGCAAGAAGGGGCTGGAAAGAAGTGTTCCAAGTCATGAAAGGCCAGGACCTGAATCCAAGATTGCTCTATCCAGCAAAGCTTTCACTTAGAATGAAAGGGCAGATAAAGTGTTTCTCAGATAAGGTCAAATTAAAGGAGTTCACCATCACCAAGTCCTTATTATATGAAATGTTAAAGCGATTTACCTAAGAAGAAAGAGATAAAAAATATGAACCGTAAAATGACAACAAACTCACAGTTATTAACAACCACACCTAAAACAAAAATGAAAACAAACTAAGCAAACAACTAGAACAGAAATAGAACCACAGAGATGGAGATCACATGGAGGGTTATTAATGGGGGAGTGGGAGGATAAGAGAGGGGGAAAAGGTACAGAGAATAAGCAGCATCGATGGTAGGTAGAAAATAAACGGGGAGGTTAAGAATAGTATGGGAAATGTAGAAGCTAAAGAACTTATATGTACGACCCATGGACATGAACTAAAGCAGGAGGTGGGATGTGGGTAGGAGGCAGTGTGCAGGACAGAGGGGAATACGGGGGTGGGGGGAATGGGACAACCATAATAGCATAATCAATAAAATATACTATAAAAAATTACCCTAATCTTGGGTTGTAATTAATTTCTAATATGTTTGCCATGACATTTTGATGGTGGTATTTCTTTACATATGAGTATATATCTATATATCTATATCTAATCTATACCTATACCTATATCTATATGTATAGATCTGCTTTCTCCCTCTTAGTAATTTATATTACTAAATGTTTTGGAAGAGTCCAGAATGGACAGAGTCCAGAATGAAAGAGTCCAGAATCAAAGAGGTTTGATTCCCAGTGTCTCACAATGAGCACCCTTTGGAAATAGTCTGGTAGGATCTGGAGGGGAGATAGAAGTCACAGTGGCCTTGTGGAAGTTTTCAGATACCGCTAGAGCCCACCAGTGGGCAGGGTAAAATGGGCAGTTGCTTCCATACACAGTAAATGGCTCTCAGTGTTATACTGGCCTGCAGCAACCCCTAAGGCCAGATAGCAACAGCCAACTGGTATGCCACATTTGTCTTGTATGGTGCACGTCACTGTTTCATTCCTCACTGACCGAGGAGATGCAGTGTATCATGGATTCCGGGATCTTTCTTAACAGTGAATTGTGTGAGTTAATATCTTGGGCAATAGAACTTTGTAGTAACATCTCCATGGACCCATATGTGAAGCCAGTTGATTTGGAAGTTAGAACCAGTGTGCTGCCCTGCAGTCAACTTGGAACAGTGAGTAGGACTCCAGGGCCAGGTCCACATGAAGACCCAGCAGGACTTTGGAACTAGGTGCTAACCATTAAATAAAGACAGTTTATGGGGTCTCTCTCTCTCTCCTAAGTCTGCATGTCCCATGATTTGTTGCCTTTTGATTGAAGCATCATAATTGAAATAGTTAATTTATGACCTGCCGGGGGTTGTTTCAACATGTTAGTCTTTTCCATTAACACATCATGATGGATTAATCTGTGGGATGATCAACTCTGCAGAACAAGCCCCGTAAGTATACAGAACCCAGGAAGCATGTTCTGAATGCAGAGGGTGGGTTTTAAAATAATCCCCTTGTTTGGCTCTTACTC